CCCCCAGAGTTCCTTGATAAAGGTTTGAACACCGCAATAAACTATTAGTCCCAGAGTCACAAGCTTACAAGGTGTAGAGGTATGGTACAAGATGGTAGTCATGATGTGGGCGAAGCTTTTGTTTGCATTTGATCTAACGGCAGTTAACTGGTCTTAAGACATATCGGATGCCTTGTCCTCGACGATGCTACTTAGACATTTTGTAATCAGATCGCATTGCTAAGGTCTCTGGCCATAAATTTTCAGTTAGTTTTGGCGTTACGGCAAGACTGCTCAAGCTCAGTTCAATATAATTATTCATAACTTTACGTTCATGAGTCTTCGACACTGACGGTCTGACTTCGTCGGATCAGTGGAAGTTATACTGTTCAAACACATTCAGATCGAGTCTCAATTCAATAGTCGGCTATAGGTAGGTCCATAGATACTCCCCCAGAGCCATAATTGCCATGGCCTGGCCATGGCCTGGCCGTACGGCATGGCAGTAAGAGGGATATCCTTGTAAAACTGAAGATCATGGCCCATGGGCGTACCAAAACTAGTGTTCTGGAGCTCTCCCTTTTCATCTACATCTTTCAGCACAGAGCTGATAGCCTTCTCTCCCATGGCCCGGTACTGCGACCCAATGTACTGCCTCCGCACAGCTTTCAGAATACCATACGCAAATCCAGCAGTCGCCGATGCCTCTAGGTACGAGTCCGGGTGATCGATAAGCGTATGCCAAGCGCCCGATATAGATTGGGACCGCTGCAGTGCTTCGCACTGCGCCTCAAGTGTATTACAGAGATGGATCCGAATAGGATCACTCGGCTCTAGTTCCAGCAATTCGAGGATCTCTGGGATAACGATGGTGCACCAACTATTCCCGCGTGCCCACCGTGCATCCGCAAAATTGTGCCCCCCGTTCTTATGTCCATCACTCTCGAATCGCCAGCCGTGGAAGAAGAGACCAGTTTTTGTGTCGAAGAGATACTTTACGTGGATAAGACATTGTCGCTTTGCCTCAGCAATATATTCGGGTCGATTAAGGAGTTTTCCCATTTTAGCAAGCGGCATCACAGTCATCATAAGTGTATCATCCCAGAGTTCCTGGTCATTCTCTGCGACGTAGGTGATATGCTGCATACCACCGTACTTGGTGCGTGGCAACTCGTGCATCGCCCATTCGCCCCATGCATCGAGCCAGGGGAAATAGGTAAGATTACCTGTCTTTTCATAGACATAGGCAAGAGTCAGGAAGGCAGACATCGTGTTAATATTCTTGGTAGTGCCGCCTTCGGTAAAAGCGCTCAGCAAACCAGTCCTCGATAATTTTAAGGTACTTGGCTTGGCCCGTTATCTCGTAGAACTTTCATACACCGTACAGTCCGATGCCATGGGTCCATTCCCAGCCGTTCCAGCATTTTGCCTGGATGGTGCGGCCATCTTTCAGATGCAGGAGAAATTGGCCCGTGTCGTCGCGAATGTTTATGAGGTTGTCAATAAGGAGGTCAATGACACGGTGGATTTCGGAGGCGGGGGGTTTCGATGCCATGGTAAAAGCAGGCTGTGTCGCACGCAGCTCGATTCATTCGATGGTGCAGCGTTCACAATAAGTACTAGAGCACTAAATCCATGACCGGCATTCCACCGTCTCTCTCCCCGCAACACCCAACTTCCAATTCTACTCTTCTGAGCTGCACGCGGCCATCTGCTCGGGCCATTGCAGCCCGAGCTAAATTCCGCAGAGTATTGATACGAAAACTCCATGCTAAACAAGACTCGCGGGCTTAATTACCTCGGTGGGCCCTGTCCGGGGTGATTTACTACCATGGGGGTAAATGAGGGGAGAGGTGGAGGGTCTCCGCCCCAACCCTGGATAAATGCCGATAGCCCTAAACGATTGGATCTTGCCTGGCTGACTGCATAGAATAGTTTCGCCGGGCATGATTCAGTACGTACGCATTCTAGGACAGCACTGATTCAGCGTCCAAGAGTCTATACTAGTTATACGCTGACCCTTCATGTCCCGATTCCAACCGCCGCAAGTTCTGACCTTCACAACCTTTGACCGCGACCTACTGCAGTCAAGTCGCCCTGCTCCCTTATGACTATTGCTTGAGCTGCATCTACCCTTCGAATGACACAAGACAATCCTAGATTCTATTACAATATCAAGGAAGAAAAAAACAGAGAAGAGGACAAAATTGGTCTGTTGTTGGACTTCATTATTTGCGCAATCCTTCACAGTCCGCGGGAAACAGAAGGACTGGTTTAAAATCCCAGGCAAACCATGGCGCCGTCGGACAAACTGTCCGGGATACAAAAACGACCCCAGTACCAAGATATTTCACCATGTGGGCTACATCGAAGTGCGGAGAGACCGCATGTGGATAAAACAGTTATCCATGGATCTGGAGGAAAGGGTCCCAGGTCTTTAGCCATGAAAGTATTAGAGCTCAGAGGTAACCTGTATAGACAAAGCGTGAGGTAGATGGCAAGTATTTTTGGTTCCTCTAATAGTCGCATTATGATTAAGTGCTTAGCCACAGCTCTGTGTGACACACTTGTAACTAGTCCTCCATGATAAACCGCATAGTTATAGGTTTAGTATGCGGGATAACCCAGTAAGGGCACCAACGAAAGAATAGTGTCCATGAATCTGCTAAGGTACGCACGACATGCACTCAGAGTAACCGTATTCCAATCAATGACTAAATAGACAGGCCTTCCTGATCCCACCATCATCTTCCATCAACTTCTAAACCCTCAACACAGGACACGACAGCCGCACAAAAAATCCTCCGTCGGGCGAGTAAAATAAAGCCCGCGAGCATAGACCCTACCCGGCTACTTCGAGCTCTTCGAAGGACGCTCGTCGCCCTTGACGTCTGGAGTCCCAGACATAGATTTATCATTGGCATCAGGCACATTGTCGGAGCTTGAATCGTCATTGCCCCCGATTTCCGGGAAGCCATCGAAGATTGGTGGCCACTCGGTGGGCCATGGGAAGGGAAACTCCCCAGAATCATCGTCGTCGCCCGGAGGTGTAGTGGGCGTCGGCCTGGGAGTCGGCCGGGGTGTGGGCGTCGGCGTCGGCGTTACAGTAGTAATTGATGACTCTTGCCAGTTCTTCCACATACCTCTTTTGTTCTGGGGCTTATGAGGGACTGCGAAGGCTGCGGTGCATAGACCGAGGAAGAGAGCGATGCTTTGGACCCTCATTTTAGGAGTTAGGGGTATAGACACAGTATCAATGCCTGGTTAAACACTGGGGTTCCTGGTGATACAGGTTTAAGAGATAAAGAAGATGGTATACACCCTGGAGATAGACTTAAATCTCACGGTATGAAGATTGCGCGAAGAATATCAGACGGGAGCAACTGCTCTGTTTATATGTATGAAGGTGACCTAATCCAGGCTTTTTGCGTCACGGTGGGAAACAGGCATACGCAACCTCACTATTACGAATCAAAATCTTTCTGGGATAATTCGTAGCTGGTAACCTCTTTTCTGTGAAATGGATGGTATGCTTGCTGTCTGTTTTCTGCATCGTTTCTGTTTCGCCTCTCACAGCAACCCAAAGGTTAAAAGTCTGGACAAGCGCCGACTCCAACGAACATGACGATCGAGCAAATAGAATCCAAGGGCTATATTCGTAAGGTAATCTAGTTGAAGGTCAAATGAAAAAGATTGAGCGGAATACTTGATTAATGTTAAACGAAATATGCTTATCCTCTCACAACCGTAAGCCACTTGTGCTGATGTACGTGTGCCACAACTAGGGCTTTCGATACTCGTGTGTTTGTCCACGTCTTCAATCACACAATGGCTCGGGATTTTCAGCCGAAAATAAAATTCTGGAGAACGTATATCGTTACACATTCCAAAGGCGACGAAGACAACCTTCCACCATGAAAGCCAACGGCCCTACTTTGGCCCCGATGTGTAGCAATTCGTCATCCGTTGAACAATAGAAACTTGATACGAGGGGTTTTCGATATGTGCTCCCCTTCCTTTTTACCTTAACCCCTTTATCGGGCTTTTTCATAAAAGTTAGATTGTTCCAACAACCTCGGCATCTAAATTTGAAGGATTCTCCGACTGGCATACTCCTGTGTAACCAGAATGCTAATCGCCGGGAAAACGGTCGTCATCAAATGGATATTTGTCCGAAATTGAAGTGTCATTTAGCGAATAGCATGAGGGAACATATCAAAAGTCATATAATGCTTGTTCTGGTTTCCTTGTCTTTGGACTGCTGAGACAGGACGACGAACCTTGAGATCTATAGGCGAAGATGGTGATCTATGTCAGCTTCTTAGCTTCCTTGTCTTGTCTCTTCTCTTCTCTGGCCAACGATAAATTCCGTCAAGGCAACCAGATAGTTCACCAGGGAATGATCGAATTTCCATACTTTTAGGTTCTAGAAACTCACCTTCGGTCTAATCAGTTATTGTATGTTATCTTGCGTGGGCTCTCTTCGGACAAGTGCCTCTGGCTCCTTAGCCAATTAAATAGATTATGGGTGCCCTCCTCATCCAAATAGTCTATAGTATCTCAGCACCAGTGAGCTTCCTATCAAACCGTCACCCTCAGTCTTAGCTGCTCGCTATGAGCACAGCTCACCAACGCCCAAAGCGTCGCGGCCATTCTATGCACAAGCCCCCTAGCTGCGTGGCTCGAGAAAGATAAGAAAAAGAATAAGGAAAAGGGAAAAGAAAATCAGATAACACAAAGCGCGGCAGAGAGTTAGAGCTTTTGAGTCAGCATATTGCGCGTCCCTGGACCGTGTGCAAGAGCTCTTCACGTATATTGAAGTCGTCGTATCTGAATGTAGTCGTAAGCACAGAAAGATACTATCTATACTGGAAGCCTGGTGACTTGATGAGCATGTATTACTAATAATAGACCATAGCTGATAAGCATGTCATCTGAAATGTGACGAGATACACCGCAAGAAGCTCAAGATGCAGCAGAACCTGGTAAGAATCACGCCGAGAGGACCTGCGAACCTCGCTTTTCTTTGACTAAGAATTGCTTCAGGCTTCTCACATCCGAAATGCGTCTGGATAAACATGCAGAGTTCAAGAAGTTGCGGTGACTTGGATGGCGTGCTGGATGTCGATGTGCATTTTCAACTAAGGATAGCTCGAAGGTTAAAAAGTCGATAGCCGAAAGCTAAGTTGGGAGATCACTTTGGACATATCGCATTGGCATTGGTCGCAGATGATGTGTATGGTTTGGTTCATGCGCTCGGTGCCCGTCACAAAAGTCAATGGCTGTAGCTATCAAGACTTAGAATGAACCTTTCTAGATTTGTTGGAAGTGGACTTGCCGTTGTAGGTAATAGAAGATTTAATAATACGCCAAGTGTACATACACCTCCAAACACCCCATTCGGCGGTGAGGGTACAGTTCGGGTTATACAGCACTTTTGTTTTTATCTGTTTATCTGTTTATTTTTTTATTTTTATTTTTTATTTTTATTTTATTTTTTGCTGTTTTCTTTTTTCTCTTTTCTTTTGGCCAGACAAAAACTGAACAATAGTAATCGTTATCATTGTTGTTTTCTTAAGATCTTCTGCCTGTAGAGATTAGTAGCCCATAGAACATCCAGTGTAGGTATAGCAGGTTTCGTTCATACTAAGATCTGTCAGTACTTGCAGCAATGCGGGATCTGCAAAAAATTGTCGCATTATCAACAAGTCGATAAATAATCTCCAGCGATCATCAAAGTCTCCTTCGGCGTGTTGTTTGACTCGTTTCAATCTCCGGTCGGCGATCGCAAAGCGAAACAAGGCTATTCTATAGCGTGTAACTACGCTATGATCTCAACAGGGTACAAATTTCATGACTGCTATTAGTTATTCAGCTTCTTCCTTGGAAGGGGTCGTATCCCTGCGAGCACAGGACCCCGACCAGTAAACACTGGGGGGCCTGAGATTGTGTCGTAAGTAGAGGGGAGGGATACAGAAAGAAAAAGAGTGTAGTAATTTAGGCTGCAGGCACTATTACAAACAAGCCAATAGTTTGTGTCAAGAGCTTCATGAGCCTTGGATTCCGCCCTAGATAGGAAAAAGTGAGAAGGTTGGGAAAGACAGATCATCTGTGCCCCTCGCGTCAAATCCAACGCACGCTGGACCCTAGTCTTTGCTTGCGACGTGCCGTACTCATCGTGCCCCAAAATACTTCGTAGTGAAGCTTACTTCCTATCGGTCAGTCCCAAAGGAGACTACAGGAGAGAAGGAGGAAGATGAGGGATCAAATCCTGAAGTCAGGATTTGGTAATTGACCTTCTCATGGGTTTCCTTTGCGGTGTGCTTGAATCGTTATATAAAGTCAGTGTTTTGTCCTTCAGCGTGCAACATTTTTTATATCACAAAATATATTATACCTCTGCACTTTAGTTTCTTTAGTTGATTCAAATCGCTTGTCTTGTGATACCCTTTACATTTTTTTCTATTTACTTCTGCCTCCTAATATCATCACAATGCGTTTCTTCCAGATCGCTTCAATTGTTGCCTATGCGGCCTCTTCGCTCGGTATGTGATTCTCACTTCTACTGCAAGCTTGGAAGCAACGTGCTAATCGTGATATCTAGCTGTCACCATCACTTCCCCTCAGAACGGGGACAAGGTTGACTTCAGCAAGCCTTACACCATCAAATGGACCACTGTCCCGTATGTACTCCGTTGGGCCAACCCCAACAGGCGAAGCAATGGAACCACTGACTTGAATTGCCTCTGATAGCTCGGACCCCGAGCAAGTCAACATCGTCCTCAAGAACCAAACCTCCTCCGAGAAAGAGATCGCCAAGGATATCAAGACCTCGGACGGCAAATACACTATTGACAAGATCTGGGACATTGAGACAGGGTGTGTCCATCCCAAGAGCCGGACCTAGAATTCCTATGCTCCTCACAATCTTGAGCGTGAATACTAATCCTCACCCTCCAATTAGCACCGGATACCAGTTCAATTTCGTATCCAACTCCAAGAAGAACACCGGCATCCTGGCCCAGTCGCAGATCTTCAATGTGACGGCTGTCGCTGACCCCCCCAAGCCATGTAAGCAATATTTCAGTACTAAAATCACCAAAACACCATGCACCCGCTCCAGCACCAGCACCACAATCAAAACAAAAACCACTTCCCGTCCCTGCATCATCCACAGCACCCTCAGCACCTCTAAACCTTCACCATCATCATCCCGTGCGCCATACTCTCCGTCATCTAGCACCGTTGCCCCCTCCGCCTCCGTGAACAAGGGTGAGTACGTCATGGTTTGCAACCAAATGGGGTTTGCTGACACAGTCCGTTTCCCAATAACAGCCTCTACTGCCACGAACTCCGCTTCCAGCACCTCCGCTGCTCCGACCGAATCGACTGGCGGCTCTGCAGCACTTACGATCCCCGCTGCCGGCTCACTGATGCTCAGCCTTTTCGCCCTGGCGCTGTAAATCGCAGATTCGGACCCGATACGAGAACGGAACGTGTACAAACTTGGAATTGACGCTATGAGGTAGTATTACTTCTTTTTGCTCTCAACTTTCTTTTCCTGTCTATCTTTTTCATCATGCGCTAGCTTCACGGTTCATGAAATAACAAGTTTTATGTATGTACGCAACTTATTAATGAACTTTATTTTTATTATGCGTCTCCTTTCATTTTTTTCCCCCTTAGCATTAATCATTAGATAATTCTTATTCGCCTGGTTTTGTTACTCTCGGTCTTATCGTTGCCCGAATTGGACGTATCATAGGTGATGTTCATGGCGGAAGCAATAAATATGCAAGGGGGTGGGGGGAGGGAACGCCGCATTCTTCGTGCAGGCATCCGGTCGCATTGAGTTTACTACTCGTAGTAGTAGTCTTTGCATATAGTGCATACATACAATATATGTACATGTCGAACTCTGACTTTTAGGGCCATTCGCTTGATAATCCATAGATAATGAGATTGATACTGGCAATTTTCGATAGTATACGGTAGGCCCTCGGAGAACCATACATTGAGTTGTATAGTTTTGAGTTTACATGTTGAATTATTTATACCAACATCATATGCCTGTGATATATACAGATAAAGTCTGTTTGGGCATATAATCTTCAATAAATATCAACCTTAATGTCCCCATCCTAAGCTGTGAGATAGTTTCAGAAACCCAGCCTAGGAAAATTCTTATACAAAAAACTCAGGTAAGGTAGATCCAAATCCCAGGTCATCCAACCAGCTGAGGAAGTCAGCGCTAGTGCCGAAAGTCGCCAAGTCTGGTAGGTCCTCAGCATTTGCCCAAGGCATCACGGAGCCAGAAGAACTTTCTTCTAATGGTTCGTGGTCCTGGATAGGGTCTAGCGTTTGCTCTGCAGATCGGCACGAAGGCCGATAATTCAAAGTGTCATCCAGCAATTTCGTTATAGCTTTGTTGATATCCACGCAGGTTCGATGAGTGTGGCTTATAGAAGGATCAGCGCTACCAAGCCATGAGACGAAGACGCTTAGTTTACGGATGATCTCGGAGCGGGATGCAGAGCAGGGTAGGGGAATTTCTGCGATAGTGCACCGATGTACTTCTGTGGCGAGGGCGCCTGCAGTCGGAAGGGCATTGAAAAGAAGCTACGGCGTAGAGGTTAGTTAGCCATTGGTTGGACAAGTGGCAAAGCAGAACTCACGATGCAGAAGAAACTCTTGATAATATTTTTGCCTGCCTGCTCGCGATGTTTCATAAGATCGTTGACCACGGAAATTACTTTCATTGATGTGTCAAGGAGATCCTTCGTATAGTCCTCATTTTCGCGACAGCGGATCCGCTCTACTTGAAACACCGTATACAGGTATTCCAAATAAACGAGTATAATTGAAACGCATGAACGGGGACTTAGCCTCCCCCAGGAGTCTGCGCTATAGTGATACTCTTGGGGTATTTGTGACCACATTTGCTGGCACTGTTCGTAGGTTGTTCTACTAAGATGTCAGCATTGGCTATGTCAAAAGATATTCTTGCAGCTATACCGAAGCTTCTCGGTAAAATCTGGGGTTCTTCGTCCTAGTGACAGTTCTAAAACCTGTTCACTAAGTACGGATATCATGAAGCGCAGCCTGAGTAGCGTTGCATGGCGAAGTGTGCCATTGCTGACGCCTGTGGTATTCCACCCATCGGAACCCAGTTGCTGCAATAGTGGTTCAAGAGGTTTTTGGTGAAGTATTGAGTCATCGTCTATGTCTAATGGGAGACCTGTCTCGCAGTAGTGGTAAGGGAGGCGAGGAGGCCTACCAAAAAGGGTAGCCGAATTCTTGTCCCAACGGTATGCAACACCGAAAATCCTCTTTCGAGTCTCGGAGATGTAGAAAGGAACGTCATTGTCGGATGACTGGAAGCGATGTAGACCCAGGGCATAAACATGGGACACCAGATCGCCAAGCAGCTCATAGTTTCGATGGCCTAGTCGCGTTGTTAGCTCTGGTCTAAGGTTTTCCATTCCCTGAAAACAATACTTGTTTCTCCAAAAATATCTGAAGCGAGCGCGCTATGTATTACATATAACCATAGCATCAAGTCATTAACTTTATCAAGTTGCTTGCATATCTCGATGCACATGGTACTTGCTGCAGTCATTTCTTCTGCAAATGCATTGGCAGACATCGACCCTTGACCATTGATTTTGAACAGCTTTCTTTCGCTACTTAATGCGCCTAACCCTGCGAAGGAAAATACGATGCCTATGAACTCCCATCTCAGGTTTGCGCCGCTGAATAGAGTGTAAAAATCCCCTGGGCTTGAGGGACTACGAGGATCAGGAAACGGCCCGGCAGTATTCCGTGTAATCTTAGAATATATCTCTTCATACTGCAGATCCTTGCCCCAGCCGCCTGTTTCCAAGTAGGTCCTGGCCATTTTGAGGGGCTGTAGAATGAGTTGCAGCGGGATGATAGTACACGGGCATCGCTCATAGTGACCTATAAGCAACTCTTCGCAGAGCTCAAAGGCCGACAGTAGCTGAACCAGACGCGATGCCACATACGTATGATCACGGCTCCATCGCCCTCGTAAGACTGCATGCGGTATGGGGTTTGGAGGCAAGCCTGGTTGCGTGTCACGGAAAACTGACAGGAAGCTTGTTGACCCTAGGTAAGTACAGCTTAATGGTGGTACCTCAGTGAGGTCACTGGTGAGGGAAGAATCGATATCTTGGTTGATACTTCTGCGAGTAGCAACATCGGGCTCGCCCGCAGGGACTTTGATTGGCTTTGTCATAGGAGCTGGATGGTAATAGCACTATGGTTGCGTCAGAAATCCATCACTTTCTAAATTGGGATGTCATTCTCACCTTCTTGCTGAGGCGTCGGGTCTCGCATCTTTTACATATAGGTCTTCTATGATCACATCTAATCTTCGACATGCGACACGGCTCACAGGAGGTTAATCTTCCATTCTTCCTTAACGTATTGCCCTTCGAAACTCGGTCCATTGCGTAGAGAGCTGTTTCCCCGGAAGTATTAAGGGAACACGAAAGTGTGTGAGGAAAGAATAGGAAGTGGATGGAAGGAACCTTAGAAAGATAAAGTAGCTTATCGGAATAGATGTAGTCCGAATACAGTTTTAGTCCGATCTCTACTCCGAGACGGAGTAAGTATGTACAACTGCATTAAAATGATATCTAAATACAACAGGTACTGAGGAGTATGTATGAGGAAGTTATATTATTACTATTATTACTAGTAGCATACAGTATTGTACATTAATCATAAAGGCTCGTTAAATTAACTTTCCTTGACCCCTACTATTAGGTGATATTCAAAGAAGCTATAGGTCACGTTCAAATGGGTATATCTAGTTACAAGTGTACATATATACAGACAACATTGGCTCGCACAACAGGAGTGAACGGCTACAATGAGCCCATGGCCGAGTCTGCTATGCCCGACCCAGACCCGGCGGCACTGGTACTGATCGCAGGCGACGAGGTGTTACCATTGTAACTATCATTGATACCTTCTCGTGGGCGATCCCAGGTGCGAATGTGACCTTCAGCTATGTCAGCTGCTGCTATGTTGAATTGACGTACGAAAAGCATCCATACCTTCAAGAGAAGAGGTCATGATCGAGTCTTCTTGGAATCCCAACCAGCAGATAGGGTCATCCCCGACGATTTTTGACTATTTACCGATTAGTTCTCATCCGCTTGATATGCAGTCTAATGAATATGGTGAGAATCGCTATGACAACGTACCATTATAGGTGGTAATAGGGCTGTCCGGGCCCTAGGTTCTACCGGATGACGGACAGCAGAGTCATAATCATTGTAAGTGTCTGCAGTTCGTTGGGAATCCGACCTCATCCGGTTGCTTGCGCTGTCGGCTCTGTGGCGATTGAAGTGCTGTGTATTGCTTGCAATCATGCTGGTCCGCTGCCGGGCAGTAGCTTGATGCTATTACGGTGTAATGAGTTAATTCCAGGCCCCTAGCAAGAAAATCTTAGGGGGGTAACGTACAGCTCTAGGGCGATGCAGCATGCCCACACTGAAATCCCATAGTAGCAGCCTGCAATCATCCCCAACACTCCCAAACCGGTATGTCCTCTCGTCACAACGCCATGGGTCGAATGCAACGGTAGAGACCCAAGAATTGTGCCCTTGGCATCGTGCGACGATCTTGCGCTCCGGAAATGACCATATCGTCACCAGATCATCTTGGCCACCCGTCACAATGTATTTGCCGTCAGGTGACCAGCAAACGCATATCAAACCTCCATAGTAACTACGGAAAATGTCTAGGACCCTATCCAATTTGTTAGCTGGCCGTTCATCACTCACCATCTGCCCAAACTGAAACGGAACAGAAAGCGCCAAGACCGTAAAACATACTCTTCTTTAAGATAGTCCATCACGCGTAGCGATCCATCCTCTAGAACCACGGCCAGATGCCTTTGATCGGGAGAGAAGGCAAACTGGGAGATCTTCTGATTGGCAAGTTTCCATAATGCAACCGGGTTAGTCTTCTGGTTCCTGGAGTTTACTGATTTCAGCACCTGCAACGGTAGTCGACTAGATGCTTTCATCGTCTCTGCCGAATGATTGCTAAGTTCAGGCGTGAAAAGCGCATCTTCCTTCTCCTTATCATATACGACCAACTGTCCATTTGCATGCGCAGCCATGAACATATTCTCTGACCCAGGAATCCATTTGATATGAGTTACTGGAGAATTGCTGACAACTCCATTCTTATTGATCCGTGCATACTTCTGCGAGATAGGCTCGTACCAGATTATGTCGCCAGCCGAAGAGCCCATAGCAATGTCGATATGAGAAGAGCTTTTTGTTAGCTCATTGATATCATGTGTCAACATGTGCGCTTTGGTGAAGAGGATTTTCGCCAGAGGTTCCTCTTTGTTTTTTGAGCTAAGATCCAACCACTGGAATGCCCGATTGATATTAGCGAAGGCGAACAGGCCGTCAGGGTTCCGATCATTGAGTCGTTTGGAAGAAGCCTCATGAGTGATAACCCGCGAGACAAATGACGAACTGCTCTTTATGATGTTATTCTTGGGCTTGCGTCTTTTCAAGCCATCCTTCGTAGGGACGGCCGCTAAAGCAGGGTTGCCATCTGCGAATGGCGGCGCAGTCACTTTCTCTTTCGAGGTAAACACAGGAATCTTGTTTCGTTGGCCAACACTAACCAGCGACAGCTTGACGCCGGATGTTGGCGGAGTTGGGACAGTCGCAAGAGGGTTAGGATTTACGACGGGGGCCTCGGAAGGATGTGGAGGAGGTGTTGCGAGGTGCAAGTCATCTTTGAGGTGGTAAGTCCCTGTCGCAAAACCAGCATTAGCATGATCCAAAGCTCGGTGATAGTGGGGCTTCGATGCGCATGAGGGACTTTGCGCCATGTCGCAAACACACCTTCTCCGACCTGCAGTGGACAACCACCCTCCGGATGGCTAATTATGTTGTTGGTCTCCACAACTGGAACCGCCATGCCATTCGACGCACCAGCTGCGTATGCAACCGGTACGGTATAGCGAGGCGGAGGCGGGGGTAGGACGCTGGTTCGAAGTCAGCAAGACAAACGTCGCAACAATGCCGTCATCTAAGGAGAAGCGCAACAAAATTAAAGCTTATATGGCTAAATAACAGTGTAAAAAACAAAGCTAAAGCAAACTGCTGCAGCGACAAGCCACGTGCCAACCAATCAACACGTTCAACAGAGAGACAGATAAGAGGGAGAGTATAGATCATGGGCCTCGGAGGGTGAGCCTTACAACATGGTTGCTATCGTGATGCTAACCACAAATCAGCTAATGCAAATGAATCACTTGCGAGACAATGGCAGCTGCGATAGGGCTAGTCACGCAATTCTGTGGTGAATTTTCCCCCAAGAGCGGCACCCCGAATGGTGCTGCCCAAGGTGGCGTGATTTGGAGACTTGAAATTAGTTGATAAGAACCGATGAGGCAATGCACAATATTCCAAAAAGAGAAAAGAAAAAAAAAAAAAAACACAAGAAGACCCTCTAACGCCTGCCCTCAATTGATGATAGGTGTCCGGGGCTGCCGGGGAGTGGTGAGCAGCAGTTCAACCTAGCAACGATGGGCGGAGAAACGACCGGAGTTCCGTCTGCAGCTGGGAGCACAGAAAAGCTATCGGGATTAAATAGTCAACAACGGCCGGGAAACAGGAGAAAGAACTGCCTATGTTACGGAACCGGAGAAAACACGAAGCCCTCAGGAGGGAAATAGAGGAAAGCGGAGAGCGACAAAGGGAGGGGACGGCCAAAGGGCGTTCGTGAGGAGAAGCTTTTCTGGGGTTGGCCGCCGCTTTCTCGCGTGCACGAGGCGGATCCGTGGGGCTTCCCAACTACTGTTCCAATGATTATCTGTATTTCCATATCTTTCTCCGCTTTGTCTACTCCGTACAGTAGCCTAACAAAACACATTCTAAGGATCCTAGATCGGCGCTGTCAGAACAAAAGTCGCTTTGGCATTTCGACCAAAGTAAGGGGACAAGTTTATAATGATAATACTACGAGGAATAATGTCATAACTCGGACGGTATACAGATGCAACTTTTTCCTTTCCCTCTGAACATAAAAAGTCATTTCTCTGCCCAATCATCGCCGATTGAATGAATGCCTTGGGTATCTTACATACAGCGCCATAATAACAAGGATATCACCCTCAAGTTCCACTTCCACTCACCCGTCGCCAAATCATCACCGCGGCTGCTCCAGCACAGACAACAGCGCCCAGCGCAATTCCCCAGGCCATCCATTTACCCTCAACATCTTCCTCACTCCGTGGAAATGCCGTACTGGGCTCCATAGCGGCTTCAGCGATATGGACAAAGACCTCTTGCATTGAGCTCCAAGTCACACTAACATGAAGAGGTGAGCTGGGCATATTTAGCATCGCAGTATATTCGTGCGGTTGATACTCAGCCCGTTGGGTTGTCCGATCGAGATCAGCCTTAAGAGCAACAAACACACTTGGAAGCTCCTCAAGGTGAGGGTATTTGGATCGCAGGTCAGGGATATACGCAAATGAATCGGGATCCGAGGAGTCGTAAGTGTACACAATCACGTCACACTGGTCCAACAGCTTCACCTGATTTTCTAGTATGGCAGGCTCTAGCTCACCCAACTCGTCCAGAATCAGGTAACATTGTTTACCCCCTGGAAGTTCCACTGTGTTGACCGCAGTGCGGGGTTGAATTGTAGGATGATATGTAGTGCTGAAGCCGCGCGCAAGGAAGGCGTCGAGAAGCGCAGACTTGCCTGAGCCGGGAGGCCCAAGGACATGACCAAGTACAACATTACGACCCACCCTCCCAGGGCGCTTTCTTCGCTTTCGCGGCCGCGTTACTTTTAATGCAGCCGTTGTAGAAGGATTGCTTCTGTCGGATGATTCAAATCCAAGATATGCCAGATACTCCAAGGTCGTTTTTGGCGATGTAAATGTAGTCATACTCCATTGTGCAAGCCAGCCCTGAAGTGTAACATGACCAGCTTCATTCCGAACAGTAGAAGATGGGAATGAACCGTCTGCCCATGCAGCGGGTAAGCCCGGGGTTGGCGCAAATAATGACGCCAATTCGGCGTCGTTCAATCCCCCATCGTTATCCTTGTCTGAGAGAAGGAAGAGATTCACGAAAAATCGATATCCTTCCGGGGAAAGCTCGGCAGACGCGTACGGTGGGACCTCAAATCTAGGATGGAGAAAGCTTTCTTGAAGCGAGAGATTGTCTGTGTACTGGAAAGCCCGCAGTATAATCCAGACGGTTTCATGGCGCCCTTTCTCGGCATACATTTTGTTAAGATGGATAAACCCCCGGCAATCAATACCAGAAGGGGTCACTGAGGTTGGATGTGTCTTCTGAATGGTTTCCTTTATATGCACCAAGTCTTCCTCACTCAAAGGCTTTTCGAAGCATCTCATCTGGAAATCCTCGAGCTCCCTATCAGATAAATAACCATCACGGTCCTTATCGCTGAGGTAGAAAATCCGTTGTAATGCCGCGACGGCTGCCGGTTTCAGAGCCGACTCCTTGGAGTCGAATAAAGGCGCAATTGGGTGAGTGACCGCCTTTTGACAGAGAAAGAAAGCTTCGTTCACATTGCGGTGTTCTCGCGCGCTTGTCCGAATGCATGAGTCGATTTCCTTGAATTCTGCCATCAACGGTAACATCTCTTCCTCAATAACTTGTGCTTCACTATGATCCGCGGCGAGATCGGACTTGTTGGCGCACAGTACCACGGGTACATTGACTCCCAAAGAGCGAAAGTATGGAAGCCAGAACAGCGCCACGCGTTCATAGCTATAATGATCTGAATATACAAGCAAAATCACGTTCGATTTCCGGATCTCCCTTGCTAAATTGCTCCGCTCTTGAGGGAGAGCAGAAGTGTCCACCACTGTAGTTGTAGTAACATTCTCGGGGGTTCCGATCGTGGGAGGAATCGTGATCTGGGGCAAAATTGGCTGGATCTTATTTGTCACAAAGACCCCTTTCACAAGTGATGTGATGAGACTGGACTTTCCAGTGCCCTCATCTCCACAAACACAAATTCGCACTGGAAAGAGTCAGTGTCGCCCGTGACCCCAACTTGTGTAGTTGACAGTTTTATCGCACCTGTAGCCATCTTGAACAAAGGAAGGCAATTGGAAACGCCTTTTTCAAATCATTGCCAGACGCATTCTTCATGAAACGTCAATGCAGCACCGTAATCGGAAAACGGAGACTCAGATGGTTGGACAAAGCTCTTTCGGTATTCAGTTGCTATTGCGGTGATCCTCGGAGGTTCGGCGGTGGCTGTGCCGTGTTGCAGCCTCAGGTTTCAACCATTCGCTGGAATCAATCATTAATGTATCATTAACGTGAAAAGGACGACGATATGGCTAGTTCCAAAGTTTATCAATAGAAGAATAGCTTCAATCATATTGTGACTGTATGAAACGTATGACTATGTTGGTACTATAATCTGGGGTTTACGTTTACAAACGATTGATAGAACGACCCAGCCACTCAGTTACCAATCTAAACATACCGCGGTAGGCTGCTTGCGGAACTTGCTCTCCTCCGAAAACTATTGATCACTTGAGCTATGGATAATTGATTAACCTGAAAAGAAATTCACCATTTTCTTACCTAAGAATTTTGTAAAAGTCTCTTCTTCATCTATCCTTTACTGCGGCGTATGTGTTTTCCCACCACTCACTTACAACCGGGACTGCGGAAATCTCGACCTTATTTTAGTTACTGCGAACCTGTCACTTAGTCAGGTCCACCTCTCGGTCATCTCCCCATCCGAACGCGAACGGACTCCGCAGAATATCCTGCTATCAACTTCTCCGGCGCAGTCGTCTCCTAGAACCTCCTCCAATCCTCCTACCAACTTTACCCTTCAGGTCCTAGCGAGCACAGTCAAAATGCCTCTCGGGATTCACAATCCCTTGCCTTCATCTTTGAATAGTAGGTTCATTTCACTACCCGCCAAAGTTTCCCCGCACTACACATAGAGGGGGGGCTTTAGAGTCCTATACTAACGTTGTTTCTACACAACAGGCGAGTGTAGAAAGGCTGGTAAAATTCTTGCCTCGTTTATCGATCCTCGACAAGCTTTTGGTCCTGATAAAATCATTCCTCCTGAAATCCTAGCAGGTGCTAAGGTAAAGAACGATCTCACAAAACACTTAGTTACAGCTTGTGGATTAAGTAGCGTCGGAAGCTGACCACTGGTTTGCTAGGGGCTTGCGGTTCTCACCGTTCTCAAGGCCGGTTTCCTAGGCTCCGCTCGATTTGGCTCGGGCGTTGTTGTTGCCCGCTTGGCGGATGGCTCCTGGTCTGCTCCCTCGGCTATCGCAACCGCAGGTGCCGGATTTGGAGGTCAGATTGGATTCGAATTAACTGACTTCGTCTTCATTCTCAACGATGCCGCTGCTGTCCGAACGTTTTCTCAGGTGGGAACACTAACTCTCGGTGGTAACGTTTCGCTCGCCGCAGGACCGGTGGGACGCAATGCAGAGGCTGCCGGAGCGGCAAGCACAAAAGGCGTGGCCGCAGTCTTCTCTTACTCCAAGACGAAGGGTCTCTTCGCAGGTATCAGCTTGGAGGGAAGCATGCTAGTGGAACGGAAGGATGCGAACGAGAAGCTCTACAATAGCCGAGTGTCAGCACGGCAATTACTCAGTGGGACTATTAGACCACCCCCAAGCGCGGATCCCCTCATGCGTGTACTAAATTCCCGCGCATTTTATGGTAACGCGAGAAATGGCGATGCGATGTACAATGACATACCCATTTACGACGACCATCATGATGACGTGGTGTGGGAAGGACGACGGGGAGATGCGTATGGACAGGGTCTTCGACGTGACCGCACAGGTGCCAATGATGTGGATACCTACGAGTACCGGGACCGACCCCGCCGCGCAAACACATGGGCCGATGATGTATACGACCGGCCTGCTGGGGGGTTGAGCCGCTCATCGACCACTCGTAGCCCTCGCAATGATACATTTGACACATACAGCCGCAGCCGAAGTAACACAGCACCGTTCGAGGAGGACTATGTTTATTCTGACCACAAGCCCAGCCGACCCACGGCACCCAAGCCTGTTTTCGGGCAACGGACAGGACAAGCCCCGTCTCTGCGCCAAGACCAAGCGATTGCCCTTTACACCTTCGATGCCGATCAAGAAGGGGATCTGGGCTTCAAGAAAGGCGACATCATCACTATCGTCAAACGCACCGAGAAGAAGGAAGACTGGTGGACGGGGCGCATCGGAGATCGGGTTGGCATATTCCCTGCGTAAGGAAACTTTTTCCCAGTTAGCTCAGGTCTTTGGACTAATGAACTGTTCTTAGGAACTATGTCGACACGGCCTAGAAATCTTACTGCCAACCCCTGGCTAATGCGCAACGAATTCTAACGAACCAAGAAATCAAGCCCGCTTTTCTTCCTAGAATCTTTTCGTCGTTTTATGATTCACAATCGAACCGAGTGCGTTTCGGTCCATTCTGCAAGTCGTATCATACCCGATTTGGACCGGAAATTCTTGTTTCAGCTTTCTAGTGTAAGCGATGGTGTTGTCTTTACACGAAGTGGCTTGAACGGCGTGTCCGGGATGAACCCATAAGGAAACCACGGAGATGTTTTGTATATCTGGATTTTGCAGGACTTCCCTGTCTGTTTGTCTATATTCTTTTTCTTTTCCATTTTTCGCTTTTTTGTCGTGCCATGTTCCTTGTTTCTTTCCCCAGGTGTTTATAGTTTCCATTATCCTTGTGCATGCGTTTCGAAGTGTGGATTTGGCTTGCAGGTTTGGTTTTAGAATGAAAATTTCCCCTCCGCGCTGTTTATATCATTCGTGGATTACATCATTTTGTTTCGGCTCACCTTTCGTTTCCCTTCTCTTCTCCTCGCTTGTGAGAGTTAGCTGCGCGGTGCCCAGTTTATTGACTCCCCTCAAAGGAAGGGATGAAACAAAGAAGGGACCGCCCACTTGTGACCACCAAACTCGAGTCATAGAGTGTCGTCACCGGCAGGGCGAAAAGTCTTCAGCGGACATTTTGCGCAAAACGTGCGTGTACATTCCTAGGAATAGTTTAGACGGATTAAGCGATATCGCATTCCAACCATACCTCGCGTCTATGTATTATCTACGGGGCAGGGCCCGTCAGCCATAAATTCCACCGAAGTCATCAGACGCTCTCAGCCAATGAAGGTCACGGACTCGAGGCACGAGACCCGCCAAGTAATACTAGTAAAATGTAAAGAGGTGGCTAGCTAATGCTTTTCTTGGTTGTCAGAGGTCAACAAGGCTGAGAAAGGCATGGCGACATTCCCGATGATGGCTTGTTAATGGAGATGGTGGACGGACCTCCAGCCCAGCATATATTCTTTGCGAACACATGAGCTTTCAGGACAATGATATACTTAGTAGTAATTAAGTAGGATCGTGAGCGCATGAATTCAATCAGGTGTCCAATCATCCTTGTCACGGAGCCACTGTGGTTCCTTGATTATACGATTATCCACTATCTCCTTACATGGCTGGGGAAGACAGGTGGGAAAATATCTTCAAAAAAAAATATGTATGTATCATAGTACAATACATAGGGCCCTATTAGAACATCAGACCTGATCACGGTCTTAATTAGATAAATAACATTTTCTTAGGAGAACCAAAAGCAAATTCGAAGAAATAAAAAAGAACAAAGACATATCTAAAAGGGGGAGGCAGACAGGAAACCTCACCACTAGTCAGCATGTCCGGAACTACCGAGGAATGGATGTTGATTTCCCTTAGCATACATATCCTTGTGGCTTGGCTGCTCGAGTGGACATCAGAGGTTAGATTAAGTTGCGGATTTTATATACTTTTGCTAAGGGACACGTGAGAGACGCTCCCACCGAGAAACAGAGCTAAGCAGAATTACTAAGAATGAACGGACGCAGCGAGAAAGATCAAACATAAAATTCCATTCTCGAGAACAATAGTCTGAATCAAATTGAAAACAGATCCATTCGGAAATCGAATCCTATTACTTGTTATCAGGCACGGGGGACATGCTGATCAACGATCGCCTATCGGCCAAACAGGACCACTCTGATCGTCCCATTGAAAAACAGTGGAGCAAAGAAATGTGACTAAGCGCTGTCGTTGACAGTCAAGGATATGATTATAATAAGAGATAGCATACCTAGTAACTCTCCTAATTCAACCTGATCAAATCAATCAATCTATTCTTTTTGCACTTATGGATAAAAACCAGACCGGTGTGACCTAGCTCAAACAGCAAGAAATAAATAAGAAAAAATTAAAGAAAAAAAAGGAAAAAAAAGAAGAGCAACTGACCTACCCCCTAAAAAAAGATCTGAAGGGTATGAGGGTTAGTGTATAATATGGAGTAATAATCATTAAACCCCCGATCACCGACTCTAAATCTGGACCGAACCGTTGTTCCTACACACAAACTAAGTGGAAGTGAAGCAACTGCAAGTCTGCTTTTTCCTTCGCCGCCCGCCAGCCAGCCGTCCAAAGTCCAGCCAACCAACCAAACGGCTTTCTCCTCGAACAACCCCCCGAATTGTTATTTCCCATCCTCATCCACCATTTCCCCAACCCGATTACAGTTGATCCAACATTCACCACTAGAAACTTTCTTCAGCCTCCTTCTTACGTCGGCTTAATATCCCCCTTCTTCTCTCCGACCTCCCTCAAACTCGCCTCTTTGTTCTAGAAACTCTGCGACAAGCCCCAAAGTCGCCGGATGCCTAACCCTTATCCGCATCCTCTCGTCTCCGACACACTGGTGTTTGTTCCTCTCCGTCGACGCTTCTTCCCCGCTTCCATGATTCCATGAACATCCTTTTATTTTCAAGTTTCTCCCGCCCTGGTGGTACAGTGACCTCCTCTCCACGAGGCGAGTATCCTATCGCCCTTCGGTCCTCCGTCAATTTCGGGTCGTCGTCCTCCTAGGTTTCCGGTCAAACCGCTCTCATGCAGGTGCGTTAGTCGACATGACCCTTACAGTTCGCTAGCCTTCTATTTTTTTTTTTTTTTCCACACCCGAAAGAAATCCACCCAACCACTCCTTTCGTCCTTGCCATAGAACTGTGTCTAAAGGCAAGGTTGTATGGCTGATCATGGGTTGTCAGGCAATCCAGAACCTTGCGGGTTGCATATGAGAGCTCTACTTGGACTAACTTATTTTTGACCATTAAGGCTACACCGAGTCCCTCAGAGGCTGGCGGAGGATACACAACGCGGAAAGGCCATGCGTCCCACCTGTCGATTAGTGACCCAAGTCACCATGTCACGGAGGCCATTGGTCATATGTATGACGATGATTACGACAGAAGGAACTCCCAGCGCCTCAGCTATATTTCCTCCCCTTTGAGTGAATCGATCTCAATAATTCCTCCAAATCTTGCTGGCGCTGCATCCCCTACCTCGCCGCAGTCAATACAGTTGCAGAACCATTTAAATGCAGTCAACAATCATCATCCCGTGAACGGACAGTCCCGGCCGCCCATTGATGGGGCCGCTTCTTTGGATAGGGAAAGTAGCAGTCCGGCATCACCTAGCTCAACCACATCTCCTGGATCAACAGACACCGCCACCACCTCTTTCCCCCTAAACGATATTGACTACGAATCTGACCCTGCTGCTGTGGCTCAAGAACTTAACAATCTAGCCGCCATCCGACGAATGTCCATGGATGTAGCTGCCACGGGTGACCCTGACCTTCCGAGCTTCAACTCCGATTTTTCCGTACCACCCTCCCCCTCCGCGGACGAAAATGACGCTGCCCGATTATTTTGGGTTCCTGCACGGCTGCATCCGGAGTTAGCCCCTAAGGAGTTCAAATCATTCCTCGAAAGTAAGACGGAGCAAATAAAGCGGAGATCTGGCGATTTCAACTCCCTAGGACCGGAACGCCAAGGGTCAGCCGGCGGTCTTAGGCGGAAAAGGTCTATGTTGTCTAGACAAATCGACAATTCTCATGGCTATACGGATGGGGCAGAACGGTTAGAGCGAAAACGGTCTCAGTCAAGAAGAGATCCTCTGACCCCTAATCTACAAGAATTGGAAACCTTGGTGGATAACTCTAAGCCGCGAAGTACGGGTCCTGTTACTTTGTTAAATGAAATTCAGAACCTGGGAATCACGGCAGACGAAGACAAGCCAATCCTTCCGCCTGCACCCCCAGGTCACAGTCTTAGACGATCCACGAGGACGCAATACAGAAAGGCAGGAAGCTTAAAGAAGGGTGAAAAGCTCCCCTATTCCAAGCGATTCGCGAAAGCCTCCGATGTGAAGGAGGGTGTATCATCATCTGCCAATTCCTTTGGTGAACAGACGACCTCGGGTCTCGCCCGAGTGTCAACCGATCCCACTCCCAACATAGCCCGAGATCAGGCCTCGGGGATACCCACTCAATCCGGAGCATCGCTGTCTAACGAAACAACCAGCTCCGTGCTTGAATCTGTATTGGACCAGCCGCAGTCTGGAAACGACCGGCCAAGTGAGTCTTCAACGGTGGAAACCGGGAGCAAAACGAATGTATCCTCGCAGACACGTCAGTGGCACTCGCGCCTCAGCTCAAACGGGCGGTCAACGTTGAACATCCCAGCTACAGAACAAAAGATTCCAGAGATTATTGAGACCCCTCCGCCGGAAACTAGCGCAGCACCTATGACCCCAACCTCACTTTCAAATGTCACCTCTGGACGCGGACACACTCAGGACTCCCCTTCGTCATCGGCTTCTCCCGCCAAGGGATCAGGGAATTACGATCAAAGTTCCAGCAAATGGTCACTACACAACCGCGTGCATAGCAAGGACAGCGCGAGTACCCTTAGTGATTTCGCTAACAGTCCTCAGGCTCTGCCGGGCAATAGCACCCGGACAGATAGTCTTTCGTTCATTCCTACCTTGTCAGAGGAACGCAAGCCGGAAACGAAGAAATCGAAGGATAAGAAGGAGTCAGAAGGTAGCCGCAAGTCAAGCTGGCACTGGCTGTTAGGCAGCGAGGAGAAAGATAAGGACAAGGATAAAGAAAAGAAAAAGGACAAGGAGAGCGACGCTAAGAAGATCAAAGCCAAACTAGTTGATAAAGTCCATGAGACAGCGAACGTTCTCCCGTCTAACGACTCAGGGCAACGTGGTCGTGAGAGCCTTGTCTTGGACCGGCTCGATCCTAAATTGGAAGAAGAACGTCGAAAGGACCATGTTCGAAGGACTTCGGGAGAGTCGAAGAAAGAGAAGGAGTCCGGCCTGTTCTCTTCATTATTTGGAGGTGGCAAGAAAAAAAGCAGCAACGATAGCCATCATAAGAAAAGCTCATCTCGGACCTTGTCTCCTGACCCGCCACCGCGGGAACTTCGGCCTGATGTTGATTATCCTTGGACCCGTTTCACCATTCTGGAAGAGAGGGCTATCTATAGAATGGCCCACATCAAACTTGCGAATCCTCGGCGCGCGTTGTACTCACAGGTTCTGCTCAGCAACT